AGTCCCCAAAGCTCACATCTCCTCCCCACCTCAGCATTTGGGAGCCCATACCTACTGTGGGACTGGACCATACAAAGTCCACTAGCCTGTGCCCCACTAGGTTCTGGTGTGCAAGGGGAATGTGGAGAGTGACTTTCTCCTTCTCAGTCAGGTACCATGTCACTGAGGGTGTGTCTTTTTTTTTTCAGCTTCTCACTTGTGTGTGGCCCCTGACTAATTTTTCAGTGGATAGTGGTCCTTGACCCAAAAAAGTTTCCCACCACTGTAATACAAGATCACTATCTTCTACATTTGGAAGGCAGAAATCAATATTTAGACCATTACACTGCTCAGTAAATCAAGAGGGTAGGGGGATTATATTGTTGTTGGAAGTCAAGAAAAAGTTTTTTCTGCAATTTCAAGAATAGTTTTAGTTTCAGTCATCTTCAGAAAAACAGAAATCTGAAAAACAGAAAATGGCAGGTTTTTTTCCCACAAAAAAGAATATCTTGCTCTTCGTTGGCATCTTTTAGATAAAAAAGAAACCACTTATCACCACGGGTGCTATTCTGACAAAGGTCACACACTCCTACTTCCATGGCATTTGTCCATGAAGGTGACAAAATGTGACTATCCCTTCTATCCTACAAAAATATAGTGTTTTAGCAACTTGAACACACATACATGCACAATAATATATCTTTGACAGGAACTGGGAGTGACAAGGAGAGGCCAATCAAATCCAAATGGGAATCCTGACAAAGCGGAAAACGGGGCAAGTTGAAGCAAAAGACCATAAAGTTACAAAAGCAAAACTTAAAAGATTTCTCAGAAAGTGGGATATGTATTAAAACAGGCCTTGGAGAATTTGAACATATGCAAGTAGCACACGTGCAGCAGACAAATAAACGGTCTTGCTGTCTTTGGGGCAACATTTACAGAAGGATGAACTGTTCTTGAATTTCTCCAATGTGTTAGGAACAAATATGATTTCCATCCGACATTAGGCACACATGTCTTCTTGTAGCATGACTTAATTTTTAAACAAATATATTCTTTGTGGACATTCTTGCGCTAAACTAGTGCCTTTGAAACAAAAACAAAAACAAAATCGTCCTCTGATTCCACCATGTTAGTTGTTTGTAGTTTTGTGTTACAAAGATTACAAAGATCTGAGGAAGTGGGTCTGGCCCACGAAAGCTCATCATCTAATAAACCATCTTGTTAGTCTTTAAAGTGCTACATAGTCCTGTATTTTGCTTCAGCTACGAAGAATAAGTTAGTTAAGATGTGGGATTAGAGAGAGAGAGAAAGAGAAAGAGAAAGAGAGAGCTCTATTAAGGTGTTTTCAAATAACTGCTCTTTCCCAGCCAAGTTAGGTGTCAGAAAAAGTGCCTACAAATATTTCTATAGCGAAATTCAGTGGTGATATGAATTGGAGCCTTTAGTGGAAGGCTCTTGTCTATATTCATGCATTAATAATAACCTCTTTTATTTGTGGTAAACTCAGCTGATCACATGACTTATTTCTTGCCATTGTCAACTTTTTCTTTTCTAACTTTTTAATAAGGAGGTTCTGACCCACAGAGAAACAAGTTGGAAGCTTTAGATTACCCTGCACTAATCATTATCAGTTATTAATCTAAGTGCAGTGATTGTGGGTTCTAAAGGGAACCTTCATCTTGCCCACTTCATCCAAAAGTACAGCTGGTAAGAAATTTTCCAGTTAAACATTTTTTCCATTGAAAAATTATGATCTACTGAAACCAAAACATTTATGGGAAAGGACTGATTTCAATTAATTTCCTGTTTCAAAAAAATTGAAAAAATAGAAATGTGTGTGTGACGGACCCGGCGGGGTCCGCACTAGAGGAGGGGATGGGACTCCCCCTCCCGCCGGAAAAAACGCACGCCACAAGCAGCGCGCCGACCGGCGCCAC